AAAGAGTAGATTAGGTCTTTTCACATAATCCCCTATTTCCTGGAGGCTTTGTTCATTTCTTTTTACTCTTTTTTCTCTTGTGTTGCCTCCTCTTTTTATTTCATTGAGTTGATCTTTAATCTCTGATATCCTTTCTTCTGCTTTATCAATTAGGTTATTAAAACTTGTGTTTGCTTCATGTAGTTCTCATGCTGTGTTTTTCAACTCCACCAAGTTGTTTATGTTCTTCTCTCACTGGTTATTCTAGTTAGCATTTCGTCTAACCTTTTTTCAAGGTTTTTGGTTTCTTTGAATTGAGTTAGAATGTGTTCCTTAAGCTCAGAAAAGTTTGTTATTATCCACCTTCTGAAGCCTGTTTCTGTCAATTTGTTACACTCTTTCTTGGTCATGTTGTGTTCCTGTGTTGTTGAGGAGTTGTGATCGCTTGAAGGAGAATAGATGTTCTGGTCTTTGATGGTTTTATATTTTTTGCACTGTTTTTTTTATTTTTAAATTTTTTTATTTTTTCCCATCTGCATGGATTTTCCTGGCTTTGGTCTCAGGTAGCTGCTTCGTCATGTCTGCTTGGCGGGATGCTACTTGGTTTCTGTGGACTCCTTCAGGTTGCTAGGTAAGCTTCCTGTGTCTTTTTTGTTTACACTGGGAGTTTGGGCCTGCCTCTTCTGCTGCTGGGTGGTCAAAAATGAAGTCCCGTTGCTACCGATGCTTCCTGTGTTTTTTGTTAAAACCTGAGGCCTAGTCCCACCCCTTTAATGGTGGGCTATGTCCTTCCTCCACAGAGCTGGATCATTCAGGGTTCAGCTCAGACTGTGGCACTGGCTGTGCAACCCACTAGAGTTTGTGCTTCAGCCCTCTGGGGTTTGTGGGGGAGGGTAGGGACCTGCCCAGCCACACTGCCTGTCTCCCTGTTTTCAGCTCCCTCTCTCCAGTCATGGGGGAGGGGCCCACCCAGCTGCTCAGTCTCTCCTCCAACCTTCAGCTCCCTGTTTCTCTGGGCAGCGGGAGGGAGCGATAGCTCAGTCCACAGGCTCTTCTGGCTGGCTTATGGGTTTATGCATTTGCTTATATCTGTGCATCAATCCAGGACACTGTCCTGGATTATTATTCAACTCTGCACTTGCAATTCTTGGCACTCGACTGGCAAAGATCCCCTGTTTTGTGTATTGCTGAGGGTTTGGGGGAAGTGCTGTATCTGGACCAGAGTGTCAGAGGGGAGCCTCTGACTCACTGGTCAGATGCGCTTTCTGGGTGAAGTGGCAACCCTCCCTGCCTCTGTCTGCCCTACCTGGGCTTTGCTCACTGTTGGGCCAGACCCATTGAAATGCACTTAGTACCTTGGTTGGAGCTAGGAGATCTCTGGATTTCTGCATCTCTCTCACTGGGTGTTGTGCACCAGAGTTGTGTCTATTCGGCCATCTTGACTCCCTCCCTCCTTATCACCATTATTTAGATTGTGTGATAATCCACAGAATGGTCAGGGTTAGTAATATTTTTTTCAGTTAGAGCAAGATCAAGATCATCTCTATAAGGCCGTAATTCTCACATTCAGATATGCATTCTTCAGTGAGAAATAGAGTAACAGATGTATAGCTTGCTTCAAAGTAATTGCATTTGCTAATGGATACATTGGCATATGTATAGTATATCATTTGTCCTACTAGAAAACAGAATGCAGACTGCTAACTTGGACAACCTAGTCATACTTCTAAGGAACTTCCCTATGTCCCCCTAGTTCCTTTCTCTAACCCCAACTCCTCTCTTTCAGCCTTCAGATACTATCTGATTTCCTTTCCCAAAATATATATCTGAGTATGTCACTTTCTACTGAAAAACCTTCACTGATTATTTACTGTCTCTGTAATAAAGTCTCTACTCCAGTCCAGACCCTCTTGAAATGGTTCTCCCTTACTCATGTACATTCATTACCGTTTATGCTTCCAATATTCCTCATACAAATATAGATTCCCATGCATACTTTTCACTGCTCATTCTCTGTCTGAGTTGGCCTGCTAGTCTGCAGGAAGAATAATTCTGCCAAATCCTTTAAGGCCCAAATTTTTACTTCTTTTATGGATCCACTGTAGTTGGCATAAATCTCAACTGAGGTGGGGCTGATCATTTGGTCCTCTGTGTTTCTGTAGGTCTTTATTGGTGCCTCAGATATAGCACATTTAGGCTGCCTTGTGGTTTGGTTTGTTGCATGTTCATAAGTCTCTAGAGGAACAGGCATTAGATCTAAGTCATTTTGTATCCCTTATGCTATTTAGCATAATGTTCCAGACATGCAGAAGATACTCAGTAAATATGAGTTGAAATGTTTAAAAAGCTGGAAATCAGAGCATTTGCTCCTGACTTGCTTTATGATCTGTTTGGTTTAGATTTCTCCATGTAATATGCCAAATTGATTTCCTCATTTTTTTTCTTTAGGAAGTACTTTGAGTTCATTTGTTTTGAGATGATAACAAAGCTTTAGTAAATTCCCTGTGTGTAAAGAATTTAGAATTTATATGCCTTCCATGGATCTTTTGAAACCTTTGAACTTTTTTTTTTTTTTTTTTAGTTTGAAATATTCAGATCTGGGAAGGCTGTTAAAGCTATTTCCTAATGTGGTATTGAGGTTGCACAGGAGTTGGAAGAATGACCATGGATTGTGTGAGCCTCGCAGTTTCCTTTGAAGCCAAACAATTTACCCTTAAGGAATAATTGATATATCCATACTTTTTACTTATATTAATTAAAATGAGTTGATAGCAAAGGCTATCATAGGAGATATAGTACATTGAATTGTACACACAATAAGGTTTTAAACAAGTGGCTCTATACCTGTTATATTTTGTGTCTTTCAGCCTAACTTTATTACATTTTTGAGTCTAAAAGGCTCTGTTAAGTCAACCATATTTTTTCTCTGTACAAATTAGTTCAATTTTTTTTGCTCCATCTAGAATCACCCCTCATACCTGTTTTTAAATTTAAATTTAAATTTAAATTTAAACTGTTTTAACGACGTGGTCTGCTATTAATATTTTCAGGATATTGGTCTATCACCTCATCATAATTTCAACAAAATCATTTTGTAGAGTCTTTTTTTTAGAATGAAAAGATGCAAGATTGGAGTTCCGTATTTTTACCGTTTGCTGACCATATGATTTTGGTCAAGTTATTTCGCTTTTTTGTGCCTTACTGTTAACGTAGGAATAGTAATGTCCTTCTGTATCACTGCGTTGTTGTGCACAAAACATCACTTTGTAAATTCTAAAATGAAATATAAATGTAATAAAAACCACAATAATAAGTAAGTTGTTAGTCAAGCATCAGTATTTGTGTGCTGATAAATATCTGAAAACAAGCTTCCTGTGGGTGGAAAACCCTTGGTTTATAGCATTTGCCAAGTTTGATGGTTCTGAACATCCCTTTCTTGGCTGATTTCAAGCTACAAATGAGACGTCTTTGGAGAGGGATGCACTTGGGAAGATAAGAGCACAACTGGCTTTTGACAGTGCCTGTGAGCTGGCTTCAGCACACTACTGACTTCAGGGGGAAATTCTTCATATTTACCTGTGCTTTTGATAGGACATAAAGAAAAGTAAAAGCATTCTACTGAAACTTAAAATCATAATTGAACAATTTTCCTGATGAGAGACTTTATTTTGTAAATTTATTTTGGGCTGTGAATATAGGATTGCTCATTAAAAAATCAATTTCTTTGTTAATTTAATGTGGCATCAGGTCTTAAGTAAATTTTGTGGGGTAAATAAAATACAGATTTTGTCTAAAACTCACAAAACTTCTTTTGGGAAATTGTTTCCATTGATTATGCTCCTACATACCTAATTAAACTCATATAATAAACTTATAAAAATAAACATATTTTAGGCGTTATAACATTATATTTTAAACAGATTAAATGTGATTGTTTACAGGCTGTTAGCAAGTGGTAGGTGTGTTTTGTTAGCATTTATAGTTACACCAAGTTGGTTTTTAAAACCTGAAAATATTGTACTTTTTGGGAGGCAGTGTGGCGTAGTTGAAAGCATGGATATTAGAAGGAATTCCTGGGTTCAAATCCTGACTCTCCTTTTACTCACTGTGTATCTTTGGGCAAGTGATTAGCTTTTTTTTCTTTCTTCTTCTTATTGCAGTAAGGGCTACAGTAATACGTTATTTTATTCTCAAAGGTTGTTGTGAGGATGAGGAACAAGTATATACCAAAAGGTCTTGGAGCAGTGTCTGGCACATGGTATTTACATTATTGTTATTTTAAAATTCTTTAAGTGCACATACCTGACAAATCTTTACTGAATTCTCTATATAGAACAGATTATTCCCAAAGTTTATTTTTTTAAAGCTGATTCTGTTATACCCTAAAGATCAATAAATAGGTGTTTTACTACACTACTGATGTTGAAAAAAGTCACTGGTAAACTTATTCATATTATATTTGTAGTTTCTTGGTCGTTACACTTCATAATACTTTTTAGCACCATAAGAGTAGTACTGATAATGACTTATATAAAAAGTACACAGTTATTTCATAGAAACCAGCAGTGAAGTCGAACAGGAATGTTAAGCCCCATTTATAGACCAGGGAACTCATCAGTTAGTAACATCTCCTAGTATTTCCCTTTTGGGACACTTCTCTAATAACTTCTTCCCCTCTTATGAGAGCTGGTGTCTCTTCTTTGGATTTCCAAAATATCCAGCTTTCACCTTTGATAGGCACTTCTCATTCAATGTTGTCAACTAGATTATTGCATCTGACTCTCTTAATGTTTATATTTGATATATTTAGCATCTAGTCCAGTATCTATCACTTCGTAAATGCTTGGTAAATACTGATGAGCGATTGAATAAATGCAAAGAACATTTCCTGTTTGTTTAATGTTTATATCTGAATGCTTTGAAAGAGCTAAAATCTTGATGTGTTTTAAAATATGTAATTTCTTTGGTGTATTTTGGCTATGGCTAGTGGACTTTCTCTGTTTTCCTTCTCTTTTTCTCAGGCTGAAAGTTTAGAAGAGAAGAATATGGCTAAAGTTCATCGTTGTCAGCTGGAGAAGTTGAAATCACAGTGTGACAGACTGGCAGAGGAATTAACCCAGAATGAAAATGAGAACAAAAAACTGAAGCTAAAATACCAGTGTTTGAAGGATCAACTAGAAGAAAGGGTAAAAATATGAGTGAATTCTAATTTCAAATTCTAATTTCAATTTTAATTTCTTCTAGAATATATTTTATATATTAATGATAATTGTAGTCTTTCACAGGAAAGTTGTATTGGTACAGAAAAAAAATGACAGTTTATTAGAATGCTGTGACTTATTCTTTCAATCACTCATTCAGCTTCTAATACATATGAAGTGCAAAAAATTGATTTTGATCTTTTTCTGTTTCTCAAAATAGGAATTTAGAGATGAAGTAGAAAAGAAAGGAATGATGATTTATTGAGGATCTACTCTGTCAGATATTTATGCCACCTGATTTTCCTATGTCTACTCACCATTTAGTTCTTACAACTTTTTGGGTTAGTGTCTTAGTCTGAGCTGCTAAAACATAATGCTATAGGTTGGATGAAATAAAAACAACAGAAATTTATTTCTCATGGTTCTGGAGGCTGGGAAGTCCAAGATCAAGGTGCTGGCAGAATCAGTGTCTGGTGAGGGCATGCTTCCTGGTTCATAGATGCTTCTTCTTGCTGTGTCTTCACATAATGGAAGTGAGGAGAGAGCTCTCTGGGGTCTCTATAAGGACATTAATCCTATTCATGAGGGTTCTACCTTTATGACCTAATCACTTCCCAAGGGTCCCACCCTCAAATATCATGACACTGGATTAGGTTTCAACTATGAATTTGGGAGATATACATGTTCAGTCTATAGCAGTTAGGTCTTATTGATCCCTTTTAATCTGTGACAAAACTGAGGCTTAAAATATGTAACAGTTAAGTGTTCTCTTATGTGGTAGGCACTGTGACTGTTAATTCTCATAGTGAGAAGGTTGTAACTTTGGTACATCCACACCAGGCTCACTGCTTTCCTTTGAGTAGATGTATAAAATTATTGAGTAACTTCCATGTATCAGGTGTTGGCTATGGTAGATATTTTTAGAAGTCACTACTTCTGAGGTTCTCTTGTGGCAAAAAGTCAACTAAGAATAGATGACAGAATATTGAAACTTGTTTTCTCTGTCTTCCACCCACATCATGAAGGGCTTTGAAACTGAAGGTAATAGAAGTGAAATGTAAAAAATGACCATCAAAGTATGGATAATAGGATAAGACAGTATATTCATGGGACAAATGAATACACATATGTCCTCAATCAGGGTTACCAAAATTTATGGTGAAAGGAATTAGCACTGGGTGGGCTGTCATAAAACTACTCATAGGCCTGGCGCGGTGGCTCACGCCTATAATCCCAGCACTTTGGGAGGCTGAGGCGGGTGGGTCACGAGGTCAAGAGATCGAGACCATCCTGATCAACATGGTGAAACCTGTCTCTACTAAAAATACAAAAATTAGCTGGGCATGGTGGCGCATGCCTGTAGTCCCAGCTGCTCAGGAGGCTGAGGCAGGAGAATTGCTTGAACTCAGGAGGTGGAGGCAGTGAGCTGAGATCGCGCTATTGCACTCCAGCCTGGGTAACAAGAGTGAAACTCCGTCTCAAAAAAAAAAAAAAAAAGAAAATACAAAACTTCTAGGAAGAAACTTTCTTAGTGCTTTGCTTACCTTTCTGCTTTTTGTTGTGTATCAAATGTTGCTACTATTAATATATAGAGAGTAGAAAAAATTATATATATAAACATAAAATTAATTTTATATATATATATACACACATACATACATACATATATATATATATAGTTCTCTAGTAATTGTTAAAACCAAGGAAATAAAGTGTAAGTTAGTTAGGAGTTTATGAGTAAACGTGCTTCTGTTGCTAAATTGAGGCCTACAGTCTTGACAGCAGCTGTCAGTTAGTTCTACGTCATGCTCTGTTTGGATTGTGTCTAATGTTCATATGTATTTAATGTATTTATTGCCAGGTTGTAGTGGCTCTGGTGATAATGCTAAATTTCTCAACTTTTTCATAATACAATTCTAATTTATGAAATTAGCCAGAAGATTGCATTGATATGTTTTATATTTCATTACTGCATTTAAGAAATAGTGGCGAAAAATTTGATATGTTGAAAATGTCCCCTGGGTGTAATAGCTGACACCTGTAATCCTAGGACTTTGGGAGGCCAAGGTGCGCAGATCACTTGAGGTCAGGAGTTCGAGACCAGCCTGGCCAACATGGTGAAACCCCATTTCTGCTAAAAAGACAAATATTGGCAGGGTGTGGTGATGGGCACCTGTAATCACAGCTAATTCAGGTAGCTCAGGCAGGAGAATCACTTGAACTAGGTAGAGGGGAGGAGGTTGTAGTGAGGCAAAATGTCAAGTATCCCTTGCTTACTTAAAATAAATGCTTCAGCACAGATTCTATTTATAATATTTCAGATGCATATAAGTGAAGCATTCACTTCAGAACAGAGCTTTAAGAGTTAATGATTTTATTACAGTATTGGTATGTATTAATCATCTGCTATGTGGCAGGCATTGTGCTGGATGTTGAGGATAGGACAGATTTAAGATAGAGGTTTGTTGTTGACTAACTGTGCTCAAGTCCTGACAATGGGTGCTAACAGAGAGAAAAGATGGTGTCTGTAGCCTAAAATGGTATGTAATCTTAACGATACACACACACACACGCACACACACACACACACACGCACGTGCTAATATATATGTAGTTTATATGTTTTCTAATCTTTAATACTTATTTTTGGTATACATGATTGCTATGTACTTTAGAGTGATTTACCTGTTTGTGTTGATCCAACCTTTAGTTTAGTTAGCTATGAATCAAATTTTGTTGGATTGAGCTAACTACAGATAGGAACTTTCTCTTTGAGAAGTAGTATAGCAATAACGATTATGGGCAAAACTTTGAATTTTTTTCTATCTGTGTGGCTTTAGGCAAGTTATTTAAAACTCAAAGCCTCAGTTTTATCATCCTTTAAATAGGCATAATAATACCTTACTTTAGGATTAAGTGTGAGAACATATGTAAAGTGCTTGGCATGGTATCTGGTATCTAATAAGAAATCAGTTAGTGGTAGCTGCCATTATTTTGTTATTGTTATGTTTCCAAATATATGTGGACTACTGGTTCAACCAAGCAGTCAACTGATTGGCATATATGGAATGACTGCCTAGGGTCAGCCTAAGGATAGGGTAGTAATAAAAAGAATGTACCTAGGATTTACCTAATAATAAAGCCACAGAGCTTTGCTGATTGGAAGTTTAGAACCAGACTATGTTGAATCATTTGAAACAGTCGATCCACAAAGGAGGCACACATGTGAAAAGAGCTGGTAGGTTCATCAGCAAGTAATATTGAAGGCACATGTGTTAAGCAAACCAAACAGGTTGGCAGTTTCATAATTATGCTTGATATTTGAGGAGAGGAATTACATTTTGGTCATATTTCCATCTCCAAGACCAGGCACAGAGCCTGACACATAGTAGGTAATCTGTAAGTAAATCATGGACAGAGAGGCATATTTGTGCACACACACATACACACACACGCATACATGTATGTATAAATGTAAAGAAATATGGATACACATACACACGTATAAAGTGGCCCGTATAGGGCAGATAAAAGCAAGAAAAGAAAATAAAAATATGTTTTCAAGGAAGGAAAACCCAGTGACTAGTAGCCTGAAAATTACAATGTAAGCAATGCAATGAACTTAATAAATGAGGCCTTATGGATTGAAGGACCAGCTCTACTATAATCAAAAGGGGTGGCGGGGGTGGGGGGTGGGGAGCTTTCTGATTTGCCTAACAAAGTGGCATTTTGCATGCCCATCCCCAACATCAATGTGTGATGTCACTGAGGCTATCAATACACACAACCTTTTTTTAAAGCCTTGCTATTATTTTGACTCTGTGATTTGTTTTAGATATGTTTCATGTCATGTTATTACCTGATAAGCTAAGAAATATTAAAACTGCATCAAAATTTATATAAATCATTAGCATCTGTGATAGCATTAAACAGTGGTAGAACACTGCTGTCGTTAAATATCCACAAAATAACTGACTTTAGCATATTTTCCTCATGCATTCAGTGGTGACATGTGGTATTAAAATGCATTTTTTCCAACATCTGATCTTGCTTTGTCAAAGGTTATTTTTCAGTTTTACATGACAAAGAGAACGAGTGTTATACAACCCACAGATTTTTGCATATCCATTTGGTACTTGATTATGAGCTTCTAACCAGGGCCAAAAAGCTACCCTGAAATATTTCAGAAAGAGTTTTCTCCCATCCATGGTGTCATTAAAATGTATTATTCCTTTTGCTTACATTTTACAGTGAAATATTTTATTTCTCTTTTGTTTTAAATATTAATCCTTTGATTTTCCTGACATTTACCTGTTTTTTCTATCAGAAGTATATTTTTATTGGTTTCACTGGAATCTGAATCAAAGAAAGTTAGTGCATAATTAAATCATTTTTGTTCAACCAGTCAGCATTAAAGTTTACATAACTAAGGTTTTAAATGTCTGATCTATACAGATCTGCATCTGATGTAATAAAAAAAAAATTCTTATGCAAATAGCTATGAATTTATAAATGACACTGGCTATCTTTGTAAAGATACAAGTAATTTTGTAGTAGATATATTACAAGAAAAACTGATTTTAATTTTGAACATTTTTGTATATTTTAAAAAGTTAACACTGAAAATTGACATTTTATAGATTATTCTCTTTATACTATGTATGTTTTCTTCATCCTTATGTTTTATAAATATGGCTGTTTTATCAGATAATATGTACAATATTTTATGCAGATGTATTTATACACAATGACAAAAATTTGTAAAGGAAATGATAGAAATATTGTGAGATTGTTTTCCTGAGTTGAACACAAATATAACAAAGACATTTATTTTCCAGTACTAGTGAAGGAATAATTTAATTTTACTGATTGTTTTCATTTTATATATACAAGAAGCTTCCTCTGTTACAAGACATACTGTCTTACACCTTTCAGTTAGCAAGATTCTTCAGTAGTTTTTCAGGTTTTCTGCTCCAGAAAAATCT